ACATCTTACAGCCCTGGTTTCCAGCCAGTGACTTCGCTTCAGGATGGGGACTTCCCATGGGGGAAGTTCATCAGAAACCTAAACTCTGGGAAAATTATCTTTCCTTGAATTGAAGCTTCTTTTAAAATTTGAAGGTCTAGCCCTGGCCGGTGTGGCTCAGAGGATAGAGCACCGGCCTGCAGACCGAAGGGTCCTGGGTTGATTCTGTTCAAGGGCATGTGCCTCAGTGGCAGGGTCCTCCCGGACCTGGTCCCTGGCTGGGACACATGCAGGAGGCAACAATCGATGTGTCTCTCTCACATCGATGTTTTTCTCTGCCTTTCCCTCTTTCTGAAAATCAATGGGAAGATACCTTTGGGTGAGGATTTAAAAAACATAATAAAGCCAAAGCCGGTTTGGCTCAGTGGTAGAGCGTCGGTCTGCGGACTGAAAGGTCCCAGGTTCGACTCCGGTCAAGGGCATGTACCTTGGTTGCGGGCACATCCTCTGTAGGGGTCGTGCAAGAGGCAGCTGATTGATGTTTCTCTCTCATTGGTGTTTCTAGCTCTCTATCCCTCTCCCTTCCTCTCTGTAAAAAATCAATAAAATATGTTTTAAAAAAATTAAAACCTGAATGTCTGGACTGAGAGAAGAGGGGCCTCAGGTTGGAGTCCGATGGCAGGCGGGGAGATGAAACCACCTCCAGAGCCCACACTGGAGAGAAGCGTTGCCAGCAGAGGGGAGCTCTGCCAGCAGGTCCCCGAGCAGCTCTGACCCGTTGGCAGAGCAGCTGTTCACGCAGCCCTGTGTGCAGCAGCACACTGCTCTTCTCACCTCGTTTCTACTTTGGGGATGTGGGCTTTCAGTGGACATTGTCTGTATTAGCTCTACTGAAATAAACCAAATGTCTGTAAAAAGTATTAAAACAACTGGAGCATCCAGATAAGGCCTGGGTTAGAGCTGGTGTCTAGGCAAATGAAAGAAAAGGAAGAGGAATTCTAGAGACTAAAAGTGAGGGGAGTGAAGCTCCTCCCTCTGTCCCAGCCGCCCACACACATCCCCGCACATTCCTGGCAGATTCGGCCTTGGCTGGGAGGGCTCGCAGGGCCCAGAAGACACAGAGGACAGAGGGCCCGGGTCATCATTTGTAAAATGGCCGTCTCAACGTCCCTGGCACAAGGGGTTTCCTCACCACGAAATGGAATTGGCATTCTATGAAGCAGGTAAATTTAGCTCTTTGGGTGGTTCAAGAACAGTGTGTGTTTACTCAAAGGTTTCTGCCATGTCTTTCTTACTAGTAAAAGTTTTATTACATGGTTGTCAGATGCAGGGCTAGACATGTAAAGTAGAATGAGACATTTCTGCCTGGTGGGGGTGATCAGAATCTAAAAAAGGAAGTGAAGTATGGATGTAAATAAACAATAAGCACATTTGTGACCTTTGAACTGAACCTAAAGGACCAATAAGAATTCTGAAAAGAACCCTAACTCTTGTTTGGCTCAGTGGATAGAGCATCGACCTGCAGACTGAAGAGGCCCAGGTTCGATTCTGGTCAAGGGCATATACCTTGATTGCAGGCACATCCCCAATAGGAGGTGTGCAAGAGGCAGCTGATCAATGTTTCTCTCTCATAAATGTTTCTGACTCTCTATCCCTCTCCCTTCCTCTCTGTAAAAACCAACAAAATATATATTTTTTAAATTCTGGAAAGTTGCCCTGCCGGTGTGGCTCAGTGGTTGAGCGTTGACCTAGGAACCAAAAGATCACAGTTCCATTCCCGATCAGGGCACATGCCCAGGTTGCTGGCTTGACCCCCAGTGTGAAGCATGCAGGAGGCAGCCAATCAATGATTCTCTCTCATCATTGGTATTTCTATCTCTACCTCTCCGTTCCTCTCTAAAATCAATAAAAATATTTTTTTAAGAATTCTGGAAAGAGACGAGAAACAAAGAGATTCCTGTTGGGACAAATGGGTAGGAATATGGTGTCCCCAGGGGCCCCCAAGCAATCCCTCAATACTGAGGAGGGCCAGGCAGGAGCGGAAGAGATGCAGGGCTCGGACGTTGAGGTGCTCATCGAGCCTGAGGGGAAATAGTGAAAGTCAGGGGGCTCCTGGACTAGGAGCCAGAATGAAAGTAGAAATTTAACACGAGTTTTCAAAGGACTCAGAGATTCCCAGTTTTCCCTTACCAACAATTCCTATTTATACCTCCTTAAAAAAACAAAACCAACAAAACAAAAAACTTCCTTTTACAGATGAGAGAGGGAGGTGAGGAGGCTGAGTCGATGAGAGCGGCTCTTGGCCCCCAGAGAGAAGGTCTGTCCCCTTTGGTCCTCCTCCTGTCTCAGGGTTCCTGGAGATACTCCGGAGCAGATCTGAGCCTGAGCTCTGATGCTTAGAAGACCTGGAGGGCCTGGCCCACCCCCCCTCTCTGCGGCGAGACACCAACCAGGAGAGCCTGCGGCTCCTTCCTAATTAGAGGAGAGACCAGGCTCCTATTAACTAACTGCTTCTCTGACT